GCATAATTGTTTCCTGTTGAAGATAATTATATACGATGCGAGCCCTGTGTGGTCTTGCATTGTCATCCTGTAACAGGAAAGCATCACCTATTGCCCAGGCATATGGGCATACATAAGCATCAAGGATGTCATCTCTATAAACATGAGCATTCACGGTTCCCCTTGGAAAAACATGTAGGTCTGTACATGCACCCAGAGAGATGCCACCCCAAACACAGACACTGCCTTTTCCGTATGCATATCTTTCACAGATGTTTGACGGATGATAATGGGTTCCAGGTTCTCTCCATATCAAATAACACCTACTATCGCATTCTAGACTAAACCTGGACTCATCCGTAAAGAGAATACCCCTCCATTGCTCAGGTGTCCAGTGGACATGTTGTCGTGTCCACTGCAAGCGGTCCCTCCTATGGCGTGACTTGAGCAGCATGCAAATGGTTGTTCGCCTTGCATACAGACCACCTTTGTGAAGCCTTCTACGCACAGTTGACGTTGACACCAACCTTCCGGTGGCTGCAGCAAGGAAGGATCTAAGAAGAGTCGGAGTAGCGGTTCTATTCCTGAGTGCATATAATGTCAAATATCGGTCATCGGCGCTCATCGTAGCAGTTAGCCATCCTTGGCTGAACATCCTAGGTGCCAAATCTGTGATTTGAAAATGCCTCCAAAGTCTATGAACCACAGAAGGACTCACATTTAGCCATCTGGCCACTTCTGTTTGACACACCTGCCTCTAGTCTCCCAATGGCTTTCTGTTGTAGTTCTGCAGGCAAATGATGCCTGGAGGTCATTGTTACGAATTGGCTATCTCAGATTTCTGATGTCACTATTACAGCGAAATGTGGGCTTGCTCTCAACATGGACTTTTATGCTCCTCGCAGATGACGTGTTCTGAGTGCCGTGTCACTAATTTGCATATTGGAGTTTTATTCAGCTACTCTTACTTGGCAACATATTCAAATTTTACACAGTTTGGCTTATTTTTGAGGGAGTTATCGCTATTTTTGTGATTTTTCCTTAATTTATGATAACCAGTGTAAATAAATAAAATTTACAGATTTATCATTAAAACATGAAACATCAGAAATTGGACTAAAAATATTCTGTTTATTATCATCACAATCATAAATACATTTTATATTGATAAAAACCATGTGTCCTTTTATTTGTGTGGGCTTTTATCTATCAGCGTTTTCATCTATGTGGGATTCCCCCCCCCCCCGTGGGCAATTATAAACAGTGGGGCTATTTTTTGGAGCTTCTGTTGCACGTGCTTTCGTCTAGTGGCATTTTATTAGGATTATTTATAAATTTGTAGAAGTACAAGATCTCCTTGACTCCAGTCTGATTTCATCCTCATTCAATGTGTTTGATTATTGTTTTCTTCCTAATTGATGATGATCTTTTTTCATTGGTCTTTTGAGTAGAATTATTTTCCAATCAGACTAGAAAATAAAAATGTAGAATAATAAAGGCTTTCAAACTTAAATGATTTTTTAGAGGGAGAAAGTAGGTTAAGTGTGGTTTCTGAATATGTATGATTTTTTTTTTTTTTCTCTCAGCCTTTAGCTCAATATGCACTCACACTGACTAGTCAAAAGTGTTTCAGATTTATGTGACCCTCACAGTCTTCAAGAAAGAAATGGGGAAAACTGCAAAGAATTCATTGAGATTCTTTTTTAAAAATCGATGAATACTCCTTTCAAAGCAAAATAATATTCAATATAATTTTTCATAAAAGACACTGAAAAAAATCCTTAATAAACTTTTATCTGCTATAGAAGATAAATACACATTGAAAAGCTGTGTTATGGCACGAATTTTAATTACTAATATGTGTTTTAAGTTATTATTATTCTAATATATTTATTTGTAATCATGTGTATTTTAATCTGGAAAAGAGTATTTTTAAGGTTTATTTAACTCATTATTCTTGAGTAGGAATTGTAACTAAGGCGGGAAACGGTTGCGGGAGCCATCTGGTTTATAGCCCTTTAACAATGGAGGCAGTAGGTATGTGTGTCGCCCCTTTTTAGCTAATGCGTGGGAAACGGAAATTGTCTTCCTGTCGCTTTGTTAAAGTTCGCAGTTTTCTTACTTCAAGACAGTGGGAGGGTGTACTAAGTTAGATAATTGGATGCTCGTAAAAGCTAGTTTCGCTTGTTAGTTGGGGGGGGTCTATTTCTTTTTCTCACGTTATATGTGCAGATGTTTTTCGGATTGCATTGTCAGATTTTCTGGTGTTTGATTCGTCATGGGTGTGTCATTTTCTCAATTTAGATAACATAAAATTCCGGGATTGTTCCGATTTAATTTTTTTTTTTTTTTTTTTTTTTTTTTTTTTTTTTTTTTTTTGAAGCCTATGAACTCACAGAGGCAGAGAAACCAAGATTTCCTGGGTGCTTGCACCAGGCTAGAGATCATTCTGTTTCCTGATTCTTTCAAGCTAAGAGTATGAAGAAAACGAGTGGCGGGGGCTTGACCCCCTTGTGGGTCTTGCTCTCGCGAATGCCGTGTACCAGCGGGCGGCGGTCTTGAATTTCTGTCGGCTTTCAGCTGATGAGAATTTTGCTCGAGTTGAGACCAAGTGCTTATGCAAAACGTAGCTTTGCTGCTGCTTCGTTATATTTTCCCAAGAACTTTAATTTGACATTCTCAAGGTTACCTTAATACAGATTTTGTTGTAGCATTAGCATTCCTGATAAAGACTGCTCCCTAATTTAAAAGAAGCATCTTGATTCCTGTGTCTTCTTTGGGTCTTGATTTGTTGAAGGCGTTAGCATTCCTGATTTAAAAGCAGTTGGACTAGCTGTTGAACTATCTAAAACTCCGTGTTAATCCGTCGATGATGGCATTCTCGATCTCTTCGAATGGTCAACGAAATGAGTAGGACGATCTGTTGAACTATCTAAAACTCCGTATTAATTCGTCGATGATGACATTCTCGATCTCTTCGAATGGTCAACGAAATGAGTAGAACAATCTGTTGAACTATCAGCACTCCATATTAATCAGTCGATGATGGCATAGGAGTTTAATGTATGAACTTCACCCTGTGAGTGAATTTTTTTTTTTTTTTTTTTCTGTCTTTTGTATTTAAATTGTAACCGAGTAATGATACTATATTAATATACGTGTGGTACAGCCGCCTAAATTGTGAGTTATGTAATGTTAAAAAAAAAAATTAGTACACCTAACATGAGTATAGGATTTAAAATGATATACAGTTAAAAGTCGTTAATCCGGACTCGTCGGGACTTCAGTGATTCCGGATGATCGATTTTTCCGGATTATAGATCATCAGTTTAAATCTCGAAAGATGGCATGCAGAAATTCTAAAATTAAAAATAGGAAACCGTAATTTATGAAATAAAGAACAATTATCATCTAAAGGGTATCAAAATTTACAACAACAAAAAAAAAAAAGCTTAATATTTATTTGTTTACTTTATTAAACATTTCTTTCAATGTAAGTTGTTTAAGTTGCTTCGTTTTATGTGCTAATACTTTCTCTTTAATTCAATAAACAGACATAATTTCTTGTTCAGTTACAAAGTTCCGCTGTTCAAGTCCCGTTAATTGCTGTGCCGAGAATACCGACTAACTTGTCAATCGAAATTTTTTCGTTTTCACTAATGTCTCTGTCACATTCTTCATGTCTTTATCCATTTTTTGCAGCAATTCCACTTTTTGTTTGATGGACATCGAAACATACTTTCATTTTGTATGATCTTTTGGGAGCTCCAGAATCGGGAATTCTTTTTGACATAATCGAAAGTTCAAGTTTACTTTTATAGTATTGCTCTTACAGTCTACAAATTAATAAGCCGTATTCAATTTGAAAATTAAGGAACAACGCAATCATCAACATTAACTGAAATAGATAATTAGATAATTTTAGCTTATACCATCCGTTATACATAAAACGCGCACGCGAAAACATATTCTGCACTTGCGCGCGCGCATATGCGCAGACGTAAAAGGTCTTACGCGCACGAATGAACGCCTATGCGCATGTGTCAGAGCAGCGCATGCACAGAAAGTTTTTAGCTTTGAGGTCCGGATTATGGGTGTCCGAATTAACGACTTTTGACTGTATATGTTAATTTACCTCTTAAGGTTAATTTGTAGGGGACCGATCAGTTTACCTAGTTATCATATGTTTGAATATTCTAGAAATTAATAAATGTGTTTGATATGTATTTTATGTTTCATTTGTTTAATTTAGTGTAGTTTCTTTGGTCTGTCATGTCCCTCCATTTGTTTGAGCCGGGAGGCTTTTAAGAAACATGGAATTTAATTGAATTTGGGGTTATTGATATTTCCTTTTACATAGGTTACTCACAACGCAAACCTAAAAAGTTAAATAGTACTACCACTATACGAATGTTTATAAGAATGTCGAAATGATATATGAATATTATGAATTAGATTTTGAATGTGAATTATTTGATATTTGATTTTTTCTTTTTTTTTTTTTTTTTTTTTTTTTTTTTTTTTTTTTTGTGTGTGTGTGTGTGTGTGTGCGTGTGTGCGTGCGTGTATTTTGTCCGGCAACATGAATCAAAGTTTAAAGTCAAAAGTATTAAAAATAAATAATTCTATTTAACAGCTGTGGCTTTAAATTGGATGTCTATTCAAACAGGAAAATAAATTTGACATCATGAATGAGGAATATCCTTTGTACAGAATTAGAATTAATTAAAATAGGCAGAGAATTTGAGAAATGTAGAATTTAAAATTAGTCAGAAAAGCATAGATTTTGAGAGTGATCAGACACAGGATTTTTTATGAGCGAAAAAGGGATCTGTGTGATCATCCTTAAAATCGGCCAAACTAAGGGTGCTTTTTTACATAATTTTTAATTAATTGACTTATGTTGCACATTTTGTATACATTGTCACACTTTACAACATAAATGAAGTAGCATTAAGTTATTTTTAATTCTCCATTTTGTTAAGGAATTTAATGCAGAGCTATCTAACTCTTTTTAACAGTGAATTTCTAACTGGCTTCCGAAAAAGAAAACTCGAACGGAAAAAGAAGGTAAAAGAAGATTTGGCAGAAATGTTGAAGAAAGAGAAAAAGAAAATAAAACAAAGTGTAAGCAAAATTTGAAATTTTGATTTAAGTATCAGCATTTATTTATTAAAAAAGAAACTAGCAGTTTTGCAATACTCGAAAATATATAATAAAATTTCAGTTTTTTTTTTTTTTTTTTTTTTTTTTGGTAGTTTGCCTAAATTAAAAAAAAAAAAAAAAAAAATACAATCTAATCTGAGCATAGTATCATATGATTTTGTGGTTTTTCTTTTTACATTATATGAAGGCATCATTTCTTTTAAATAGATATCCTTTGGATATGTTACATTAAATAATTAACCAATCAAATCTACTGTGAAGGAATGATTGTATGAAGCATTTCCAGCTATAGTATGAAGTCCGAAATCCGGATGTCCATTATCTGGACCTTTAAAACCACCAACAAAAGTTTTCTCGTAGGCTTTACGCATGTGCATTTGATTTACCCCTTCACGTATAATAAAACATCTGGAGAGTTTTGATTTTTAATTTCACTTCGACACTAAGTAAAATACCTTGTTACTGAAGAAACAATCATTTTAGCATAAATTTATACCATCAGTAATTTGACTCCGTTGCTGCGTATTTGCTTGGCACACATCCTCAAACCGAAATGGTAACCTTTTATGTTGACATTACGCTTGGCGACGATTACGGATTTCAGTTAAATGCGCTAAAAAATGTTGACAACGAAAAATTTACCAGAAATTTCTTTCCATATGCTAAAAATAGATTTTGTTGATGAAAGACCCAAAGATTAGATTTAGGGCTATTTAAATTAAGAATAACTGATTTGTTATTTGCATAAACCCAGAACCAGTGCCAATGCTCGTATGGCTGTGCCGAGTCACAGAATTTAGGACCCACAGAGACTGCATCAGATGGTAAGATATCTAGCGCCGGTCCTCAGTAAAGCTTAATTATATGTGGGAATTTATTTATTCAGAACTCAAGCCTTAAGCGTGTGCAAGAAATATACATAAGTATAATAAATAACTAACTAATACAATTCAGGCTTAAATGTCTCAGTGCGCGATAGAAGCAAGATAAAATTTAACGGAACAACTTGTTGTTAGTTGCCAAGCTTATGATGCATAGCCAAATACGTATAGTGAAGGATAGCTAAATTTGATGATGACAGCCGCTAATTTTAAAGGTTTTCTAATATCACAAAACAAAGGTGAAATTTCCCAGTTAACGGATTTTGTAAAGAAATGTGGAGAAGCGGTAATAAATGAAGATGATATGAAAGAAGTTTTTCATTGTAATGACAATGCTTCTCAATCATCAATCAATTAATGAATGGAGAAATCTGTACTATGGATCCAGAAAATAACGCTACCGCTAGTGACGAAGGTGACAGAGAAGTTGCTGAAAACGAGAAAATTTCGAGTCACAAGTTAGCCGGAATCCTCGAAACAGCAGTTACAGGACTTCAACTAGTGATGAGTCGGTACTACCGAACCGGGTATTTTTTGTAATGGGTACTTAGTTGTAATGGGTACTGAAAATCAGTACATCCAAGTACCCGTTACTTCTGTACCGAAACAGGTACTTTTTGGTATTCGTTACTTCTGTACCAAAACGGGTGATTTTCGGTATTCGTTACTTCTGTACCCAGGGTTCGTAGCGGTCCTTATAAGTGCTTATAAGTCCTTATATTTGAAAATAAAATATAAAGGCCGTTATAGGTGCTTACTTTTTCTTTAAAGCCTTTTTTATTTATTTATTTATTTATTTATTTATTTTTTTTTTAGTGCTTACTTTTTGCTTTTAGTGGTGTTTTTTTTTTTTTTTTTTTTTTTTTTTTAATGAACGCGCAATTTTGCCCCGTACCAAAGCCGAAACTAAATAAACAACTTTTCTAGTAGAAAAATTCCAATACATTCGGCATTCTTTTCCTCCCACCCAAATATTACACACGTTTGAATTTCTATCAAATTCTATGCTTATATTATGAGCATATGTATGAATGTTTATAATAACATAGTTGCAGTAACTGCTGAAGTATAGTAAACTTCCAAAAATGGTTGTGTTTTAACACAGATTAGCTTTTTAATTAATAATATTCGGAACAGCTTAAATAAAGGGAAAGTAATTGAATAGTCAAAATAATTTCATTTTTTTGGCCAACACATTATACAGTACGAAGGTTGGGAGGTTCTTCCCTTTCTCCGCAAAATCTCGAAAATTAAAACTGTTACAGTTCGCTGCAAAACAAACAACGGACCTTTTTTTTTTTTTTTTTTTTTTTTTTTTGTGTGTGTGTGTGTGTGTCACTTTCCAATAGGATAGGACTAAAAGTTCTGCGATCTACCAACCCAAGCGAAGAATGATTCTATTCCGGAAATTTAACGCAGTCTGTTGAAAATTAGAATGAAAAACACCCCAGATTGGTAAGTCTTTATTTTCCTTTATTTAGTTCTTTTTTCTCCCAATACTGACAGCTGTTGAATCCGATTGCATAATATCATGTAGGGAAGAATTACGGCGCACGTATTGCGCAATAACGTTTGCGATATTGTGCAGAGATAAATAATTTTAATGTTCGGTCCGAAATTTGTTCATGAACACTTAAAAGAATTTTACTGTGCTTGTTAAGCAGAATATTTTTCTGTTCCGTTGGTTTGTTTTTATTTGATGCACATATCAAAATGTAAAAAGCATTTATTTAGCGGAAAAATCCAAAGAACGGCTGCAGTCTAACCCCCCTCCGCTCCTCTTTTTCAAATTACGCTCGAGTGTCCGAGTATTCGCCAATTTTCAAGTATGCGGGTAGTTAAGCTTTTACTGTTAAAGGATGACTGCATGAAGCAAATTTCTGTCTTCTGATTTCAGAAATGTTCCTCTTTTTTACTTAAATTACTTTGCTTGCAATATCTGTTAAGGGAAAACTGATATACGATGAAAATTTAGAAAATGTTCAGAATTTAGATTTAAATTAGTTAAATATCAATATGAGTGGAAAAATAAATTGTATTTATTATTAAGTTCCAAGCGAATAGAATAAATATGCTTTATTATTATTTATTTCCTCTATTTTGAACTGAAATTTCATCATTAAATCTTGTAGTATAGTTTAGTTCTGCATAGTTTTTTTTTCTCTCATTGTAAACTAGTTCTGTAAATTGAACTGTTATTTAAAATTTTAAAAAAAGTAATTATTTTCCATGGTTGAGGTAATGCTTATTCTCTCTTAATAAATACTGCATTTCTCATATTTTAAATTATGAGTCTAATTTTTAAAGTTATGCAGTTGTGTATAATGTAATTAGACAGGTGCTTATTTTTTTTCTTAAAATGTGCTTGAAAAGTGCTTATAGGTGCTTACTTATTTTTTTAACTGAAATGTGGCTATGAACCCTGTGTACCGAAACGGGTGCTTTTCGGTATTTGCTACTTTGTAACGAAAATATGCATCTCTTCTCGGTATTTCGGTATTCGTTACTGGAGGATCGATGAGAGTTCAGCTCACTTCGGTTTTGGTACGAGGACAGTAGTATCTGGTTGTATTTACGAAATGGTGATATGCGCTCCTTGTGTCCACGAATGACCTTGAAATAGGGCATGGAATGGCAAACATGAAAGGGGGGAACTTCTGTTCTATTCGTCACGGAGACTAGAGTTTGAGGTAGTATAATTAATTGCCTTTGTGTGCACGGGAGGACGAAATTTTTCGAAAGGCCATTCGTTGTGGGGGGAATAGTAGCAGTTGGAGTCACTGTCGCTGGCATTGCTCGCTTGTGATTGGAGTTGGTGTTGTCAGGAGTGAAAGGGAGGAAGAGCACTAGATGATTTGCTATACGAATCGTGCATGTTTGAATTTTTCATCATTTGTGGGAGAAAAACTGCGTGGATTTGAAATAATTGATTTGGTAAGTTGCTGTTGTTGGATTGGTGAATGGAATCAACTACCAACTAGATTTCTTCCTTTTCCTTAACATATTTTTAGCATAAATCATGAAAAATATTTTTCGTTTGCTTGCTTAATAGGGCAACATAAATCATATGATCCTTTTTAAATAAATATGATCCCAGGTCACGTGCCTAACGCAGGATTGTCAACGCCTGCTTTACCCCCCAGGACGTGACGATGCTCCTCTGATAGGAAGAGAGGTAAACTTTGACCTGGCAGTCCAAATATCTTTTTTTTTTTTTTTTTTTTTTTTTTTTTTTTACTCCCTCTGGAGCTTATTTGAGGGGGGGAAAACTATCGAATGGAACACCGGAAATTATCCGGACATGTTTATGTAAACATACATGTCCCTCCCTTTTTTCCTTTGCATTTTTGCTCTTTCATGCCTGATTAATAGAATCATTAGGCGATATTGCACTTACCCTTTTCACAGTGTAGTGCTGATTTTAGAATTTGCAGCTGAAGTGAACAGCGGAAGTCGTTAATAGAATTTTTTTTTATGCTTATCTGACGATGCTGATGACCATCTCCCAACTTCGTCACTTTTCCCATAAGATTCCTTCTTGTCTCATACTGGTGAGTATCAGTACATTATAGAATTGCTTAGTCTCTATCAGTTTCTTACGCCTCAGAAAAAAAAAATCGAATTACAAAATGTCTAGTAAGAAAAGGAAATTCAGCTTGGTTTGGCAGCACTTTTCCTATACTAATGAAGACGAAAAAGTTATGTGTGGCATTTGTAAAGACCTTTTATTCATCAAAGGTGGTTCAACAGGAAATTTAAAAAAAACATTTGCAAAGGAAGCATCCTTGTGTAAATCTGCATGAGAAACGCGCTTTGCCGAATCAAGATGTTGATGATATTGATGCCGCTCCAGCCCGTTCTGTCGTCACTAGCCCTGCAGATGGTGGGCAACCATGCACATCCCAGCAGACTACACAACTTACGGTAGACAACAGTGCTTGTGATATTGTTGGTGTATTTTCACAAAAATCCCAGTCCAGCATAATGCAGTTTGTCCAGAGAAATACGATGGATGTACATAAAAAAAAAAAAAAAAGTAATCGATCGCGCACTGATCAAAATGGTATATAAGGATTTACA